CACTGATTATATGTCCTTGTTGTTTGCAATAGGTGCACAAGTTCCTCTACTTGCAATGAGATGCAACATGTCCATACTCCGTACATTCATATCACTTCACTTTGGATAAATATCTCTTCTATTTGGGCTTGTTTGCAAGAAATACTATCTCTATCCCCGAAACAGATTTTCCAATGATAGTAGATTGAGTAACCAAATGCGTTTCTTCTCTCAGTAATTTTCCCAACATTGTATCAAGTGAAAGAGTACTGCCTTTACTCAGAATATTGGCCCTTATAATCTCATACTCAGGCTTTAGATGCATTAATAAATGCATAGCCTCTGATTGCCAAGTTGCTTTTTCAAAGCCTTAATACAATAGGCAGAGGCCCCAAGGTTAACTAACTCATATTTTTTCTAGTTCACAAAACCAGCATAATATTCCTAAATTCTCCTCTCCCTAACTATATGAAAATATTTTGTTCTCAATTTGGTACTAATGAGAAAGATTGGACTGCTGATATACCTTCTCTTTGTACGAATATCAAGATATCATTTGCAATTTGCAGATGATATCTTGGTTTTTTGTGATGGGGGAGGTAGAGAAGGGATAGAAAATTTGAAGCTGGTAGTAAAGCTCTTTGAAAGGATTTCCAATTTGAAAATCAATTGCTCTAAAAGTGTATTGGCTGGAATCAACTTGGGGGATGATGATTTGAGAGAAATGGCAGACTCGTTGGGTTGTGAGAAAGGGAATTGGCCTCTGTGTTACTTAGGATTACCCTTTGGTGGCAACCCTAGATCAGTTAGATTTTGGACCTCGGTAGTGGAGAGGTTTGAGAAAAGGCTAGCAAGCTGGAAAAGGAATTATATTTTGTTGGGAGGGAGAATAACATTGATCAAATCCACTTCAGCAAATCTTCCAGTGTACTTCATGTCAGCTTTTAGGGTGCTCCAAGTAGTGGTGAAAAGGATTGAAAAGATTATGAGAGATTTCCTTTGAGAGCCTGGGGAGGGGAAGAATGATCACTTGATTAGCTGGGATAAGGTTAAAGTTGAAGCAGGAAGGGGGATTGGGCATTGGAAATGTTAGGTTAAAAAATTTGGTTTTGTTGAGTAAATGGCTTTGGAGATTCCCTAAAAATGAGAGGTTGTGGAATATAGTTATCTCAAGTATCCATGACATTCTTCATGTGTTCCTCATTCATATAAGGTATGATTTAGCTTTGGGTCAGAGAATAAGGTTCTGGGAGGATATCTGGGTTGGGAATCCCCCTTGTTTGAGGTTTTTCCCTCTCTTTTTGGGCTCTCTATCTCTAGTTTTAAAGGAAAGCCAGTGTGTCATTTTATCAACTTGTCCTCTTCCTAGTCAGGCTTGAATTGGAATCTAGGCTTTACTAGAAATCTTAGAGAGTCGGAAATTCCCAGTGTTTCTTCTTTGCTTAGCATGTTGAACTCGGTGGTATTGGGGGATGGTGGTTCAGTTTCCAGAGTGTGGGCTCTACTTAATCACTCAGGGGTTTATTCATGCAAATCCTTCTTAAATTCTCTTGTAGCCACCTCCCCTTCTCATTCTTTCCCTGTTAAGGAAATTTGGTCTTGGCCTATTCCTCCAAAAGTCAATGCTCTCTGTTGGAAAGTGTATCATGGTTCTATTAACACCTGTTATCAGCTCCAGAGAAAAAGACCACATTGGTGCTTGTCCCCAAACTAGTGCTCTTTACGTAAGTTGCATGGTGAGACTGCTTTTCATCTTCTAATTTCATGTCCTTTTGCTTAATCTATTTGGGAGTTTTTTCGTCTCCTTTTGGTTGCAGGTGGCTCTCTCCTATTAACTTGGAAAGATTATTCAACTCTCACCTTTTTAGTTGGTCTAAAAGAAGAGGAAGGATTTTGGGGAGATGCACTAGAGCAGCAGTGATATGGATTTGGGAAGAAAGGAACTTATGAATCTTTGAAAACAAAGAAAGGAGTAAGGAAGCTGTGTTAGATATTATAACCTTAAGGGTGGCACACTGGGTGAAAACTTTAGAGCCTGGGGAACTGAGAATCCAAGAGATGGTTTTTCAGCTCATGGGGATCAATAGCTTGCTCATCCTCTAGAAGACAAAAAATAATTGAGGTGTGTCACCTCCATGTGTTGGATGGAAGAAATTAAATTTTGATATCTGCTGCCTGGGGAATCCTGGACGTTTGGGTATTGGTGGGGTAATTAGGGAGGAAAATGGAAATATTCTGGCCATGTTTTCGGGTCCTATTCAGCATGGAGATGTGGTGAGATCAGAACTGATGGCAGCTGTGTATGGGGTGGAGAAGGCTAAAGAATTGGGGATTGACAGATTGATTGTTGAAGGTGATTCCAAAATTGTTCTGGGCTGGCTGAAAATGGGGGAAGGGGTAGTTTGGCAGTTAAAGAATGAATTCAGGCTCTTCAAGCAGGTTTCTGAAGACATGATTATCGAAATAAAGTAGATTTGGAGATCTGCAAATAGCATGGCGGATGGGTTAGCTAAACAAGGAGTTTGGAGACAATCCATATTTTGGGCTGTTTTGTAAATATTGGAAGTGATTTTGGGCTTGCTCCTTGCCCACAACTCCTTGTTGTATTCCTTTTAATAATAATAAATCATTTTTATGTTACTGTTAAAAAAAAATTAAAACATCTCCTTGGCCGTTCGGAAGCTACACATCGGGATTGCAATATCTATAGTGATGGAACTGAGAATCCAAGAGATGACCTTTGCATTGCTAATCCTCCATTTCTGTAGTTTCTAAGTATCAGTCCTGTCTGGCTTTTCAGTTGTACCATTGATGTCCCAAACCTTTTTCTTCAACATAGAGCTGGAAATTGAACTTCCATAGTGCATAGTTAGTTTCATTGAACTTGACAGACAAAATATCAGACTTCTCCATCTCAAATGTTGAAGGAAGAATGAATAAGAGTTGCAGAAGATCAAAAACCACCGATATGTATGACTCCTGGCAGTTCTAGAGCCAAGAAAATATAGGAAACAAGTCTGCTGCACCAAAGAAAGGGATCTAAACCCTATGAAAACTAGTTCAAATGCCACAAAATTTGTAGTTATGTCAAACAGGTTAGGGCAACACAAGTTAAGTTTCAGCCCTAACAAGATAGTCAATTGAGAGAAAGAGAAAGAAAACCAATCTGAATGGTGTCTTTCTCAGAAAAAACAGTGTCCTGATTGAGACTGCCATAAAGAGGAACTTGTAGCAGGTCCAAATGCTCGACCTGAAATCCCTATTCACAGTCCTATTGAACAAGAACAAGAGCTATGTTCATAGGAAGAGGAATCAAATCTGCTCTTGTACATTGCCAAGCAGTTTGAGAGACCTAGGTTCGAATTGGGTGGGTACTGTTCACACACCCTGAAAGGATTATTATATTAATCAAAATAAATGAGTGAAAGTACAATTGTGCTCTTCACATAAGGATAGTCCATGATCCATCCCACCTCATTAGAAGTAGTGTATGTTTATAATTTCTGCCCAAAAGTTTGAACATTATTCATCCCTTGATTTTCCATCGTGTCAGCCAGTTTCTTTGCTGATCTTCATTCTCGGGAAAAGGAGGATACCACTCCATTAGTCAGGTATCTCATTTCCCTTAGTGTGTTGATGTTGCTAAATTCCTTGCAGTCCCCCCACTACCACCATTGTATTATTAAAGAGATCTGCCTGGTCTCCAATCACTATAGAACTGTTGGCAAGACATTAGCTCTTGTGGAATCCCTTTCCTATAGATCTAGATGGCTAATATGGTACCATGGTAACCCTACCAATGCCTAATGATCCAAGATTGCCCAAGCTGCAACCATCACAGTTCAGATTGATTTGGTTGTGAGCTGGTGGATGCTATTCCTCTAGATAGAGATTTGGCTGTTGTTCAGGATGCCACATACTGCCAAATGTTGAGAACATCATTTTTTAGGAAGGGTGCACAAATATTTTGTCTTTTGACACAATGCACCGCTTTCACTAATTTGTTTTCAACTATAGCCTCCTTTGACTGTGTTTTTTCATTAAAAGTAATTGCATTTCTTTCTTTCCATATTAGTGAAAGGATTGCTTCCCTTTTTCATCTCCACATAATCTACTAAAGGAATCCACTTGCAACTAGAAATAAAAAGGAACCAAGCCCAAATACTAGAGATAAACACGTAGAAGATTAGTAGATGCTTAGTAGTTTCTCTACTTGAATTTAGAAAATAAACATGTGTAGACAAGTAACAATTATGGGGTTGTTTGTTATTGTGGTGCAGTTGATAGGCTTTTGTTTCTTGTTTCTTGATAATGTGGGTTTGGATTATTTTGGTATTAGGATATGTGTTTCTCTCTTTGCTTTTGTTGTTCGTCAGTCATTCCTTAGATGCTTTTCTACTCTTCATAGTACATTATCTGTGATCTGATTACTGGTCTCCTGCTGGTTTCTTTATGGTTTCTAGATTTTTTTTTTTCTTTTTTGCTTTTTGAAGAATCTCATTTTCATTTTTTTTATAATACAGATGGTTGCAATTGATTGGCATGCTTATTTTGTAATTATTTTCTCCCTATAAAAGGTTCAAGTGCTAATGACACATAAGAACCCTTCTATATTTAGCACTTACTCAGGATCTAAACTTGATATGTAGCCTTTAATGTTTTGTTTTCCTTTTATAAGAAATTAACTTGAGGAGATTGGAGGATGGGAATGAATCTTAACTGGTTGGCTAGAAGAACATCTGTTACCAACATTTCAGAGATATCAGGAAAAGCGTTTTTGTTGACAAGGATTAATATTTTGTGCAGTTACTTTTCTTGTTTACTTAACCATGAATCATGATCAAGGAGACAGATTCATGAAATATGACTGTAATATCACAGGCTTAAGTTTTTGTACATGGATTTTGAAGTGAAGTTTATTTTATTTTCATCAAAGTTCCATGTCTTATCTTTAACTCTTTTCTTTCAAAGAAGTACATTCAAACTGCAATTAAATTTTGTTACCTTCTCTCTGTATCCAGGCAAGTGCACCCCCACGTGATTGGCTGGATCCATCATTACAATTAAATGTTCCATTGGTGGATGTTGACAAGGTATCTTATTCTTTTCTTATTCAACTGTAAGTCCACTAAGTTCATGCCTCTTAGTTTCACAATAATTAACCTTCAAACTAGGATCATCTTGTGCGAACTCTAGATTGAGATTTTGTGTACTGCTGTCAAGGATACCTGGCACATAAAGAAAGTTGCATGTGCTTATTCTACAATTTTGTGAGGGCTGTATTACTGATATTGGTTCAGGTGAACTAATAAGTGGAAAATATTAGCTTCACCTATAGTTCACAGTATCAATACCATTGTACAATACATATTTGTTTTCAGGGTCACTGCATTGTAAAATACTGAGACTCAGGGCCCTTTAATAGGTTTAAACATTAATACCACTTATGAGCTGTAAACTTCATTCAGAATCATTGAAACAGCAAGAAAAAGTGTCTAGAACCAGTAGAAAGAAGGAAGAAGAGAATAACGTGAGAAAGAAGAGAAAGATTGTTTGGGAGGCCAAAAAAATTCTCCAGCCACCTTAATAGATCTCTTATATAATGATTAATATTACAATGAAATCAAAATACCCCTGCTGCCTTAACAGAGTGTGGGTCCCAAAAAACGTCAAGAATAACTTGCAAATAAAATGTAAGCCAGGGCCATTAAGATATGAGGCCTGTTAGAATTCTTTTTATTTTTTGTTTATGGTTGGCAGGGTTATATCTGTCCTTTTCTTCTATTTATTTCTTTTATTGCTTAAGTAGGGTAAAAGTTGTAATTTTTTATTTAGTTTTTAAGTGAATAAAAGGTTTGGCAGCAGTTAGAGGTGAACAGATTCATGATCTCTACTGTTCAGCCCTAGTTCTTCTCCTGTTATTCTCTTTATTCCATTCTATTTCAGTGTTTGGGGCTCCAGAGTCAGTTGGAAGTGGTTGAGAATTGAGATTGATGTTGTATATCAGAATCCATCTTTGATTCCTGTAGAGTTGTAATTTCTGAGTTTCACTGTCAGGAACATGAATAGGAAGTTGTAAAGGAATATCAGACTCCTCGTGACTAGAAGTACATTAAAAATAAGTAGGCTTCAAAAGGGTCACATCAATGGAGACAAACCAATCTCTAGTAGTACGATGCTAAGATCATAACAGCAATATGCCTTTTGAATTTGTGCATACCCAAGAAAAATACACTATATTGACTTTGGACCAAACTTGGTTCTATAGGGTCCAAGTATATGAGCATGGCAGGTACACCCAAATACTTGGTTCTAAAAGGAGTTTCAGATCCTAAAGCCTGAGAAGGCATCCTGTTGATCAAGTAAATGGCAGTCAACAATACCCATCCTAATAAATCTATTAAAACTCAAGTTATGCAATTTATATATATCTAGAGTATTGATGCTTTGAACCATGGTTTCTCATATTGGGTATAATGTGGAGGGAGAGATCCTCAATGGGGTGGAAGTTTCATATGTGGAATCTCCTTTTCTTTGCTGTGTACTTCAAAATATTCTCATGTCAAATATTTGCTTGATTTGTAATCCACCATCTCTTAGAAGTTAAATTTTGGTTTACCTAGATACTTTTCTGCATATTGAATAGTCTTGGTCCTTGAATCTGGTGTGCATTCTTCTTCCTTGCTTTTCTGTATATTGCATTTGGCTCCTCTCCTCCACCCACCCAAAAATAGGGCCAAAAAAAAAAAATAACAAAACTAATTTGTGCAAAAAGATAATACGTGGGGTTGACATCATGCTTCCATGTAGAAAATGGTGAACAGTTGTGATAATGCTGTCTGTGTTGACTAGGCTATGGGGTATTCTTAGAGCCAAGTCATTTTATTTATTATTGATAAGGTTTAGGTGTGATCACCTTTACACCTTGTTTTTTGAGATCTGTACATCCTGTTCCCTTCCCAGGAAATGGATTGCATATTGTGTAAGGCTAAATTGTTTTTGTTTGTTTGATCAGAATCTAAATCACTTAGTATGTTGTGTTCTTTGAGAGATTCTGGTGGCAATATTAATCTTTATTTCTTTTTATGGGTTAATTTTATTCCTCTCTAGCCCATGGTGAATGGGGACTTTTCTAGATCTTAAACATGGCATCCAATTTGAACATCTGGTTCCATTGGCTTCTTATGGGATGCAGGGTAACAGGGATAGGGAGTATTTGTATTTTGATGTATACTCATTGACATGGTTTTATTTTATTTTCTTATCCGGTTCTAGGAGATCGTGTTTTTCTTATCTATGTTTAGTTATAATGGTGTTTCTTAATAAAAGTTTGTTTCTTTTATCAATGGAATAAAATCTAATTTTTAGAGCCTTTGCCAAAGTTATCTGAAGTTATCATGTTGGAAAATGTGAAAAGACTAAATGCAATTAGGGTATGAACATCATGCATGGTATGAAATGGGTACCATTATTTGTCTTCGCTTTTGAAGAATGACTGCACTTTGCTGCTTATCTTATTGAAAGATGGATATGCTATGATATAGCATTGTCATATTGCCAATGCAAGCCTAGGTACCTTGGCAACAGACTAAGGGACTACCTGGTCCTTTTGTTGCTATGTGCATATGGATTATATTATTTATTTTACAAGTTTCTAATGTTTATGCATGTATCTAATGAATAATGCAGAATGATTGAGAAGGATTTGTGCATCCAATCCCATGTAGTTGGGACATGGTTGAGTTGTGTATTATTTGGGGAATGATATGATATTGGAAAGCATGCTTTTTATTAACAAAACAAAGTTGTTCTATTATTTATGTTTATACTCAAATTATTGACTTAATGTTGTATATGAAGTTGCCTATGTGGTCAATTTTCTTATCCCTAGTTGAGTTCTGGGTGCCACTTTGGCAATAAATGGCAATTGCTACTAAGTAAAATTCCTGTGCAAGCAGAAATGAAACCTTTATATCTTTTCTATTGCTTGTGTCAGGTCCGATGTATTGTAAGGAATATTGTTAGAGATTGGGCACCAGAGGTATTGATTCAACTGGGTCTTCTAAGTTCTTTCTTCTTATTACCTCTGACCATGTTGGGAAATGCCCTTGCATTTTCTTTTCATTATGTTTATTATATAGGGACGGAGAGAGCGTGATCAGTGCTATAAGCCTATTCTTGAAGAACTTGATAGACTATTCCCTTCTCGGTTTAAGGACAGGTTTGTTATTTTCATTGTTGTCATTACTCAGAACTCCAAAAGAAAGGCGTCTTTAGTGCTTATTCTGTTCCTTGAAGGCTTGCCCTATGAAACGAAAAGTGAAAGTGAAATTGTTTCTTTCCCTATCATGTGTGCATTATTTTGCTTTCCTCAATTACCCTTAGATTGTCTGAAACATGTAAAACATCTTGACAGGCCTCCTAGCTGTTTAGTTCCTGGTGCTGGACTTGGAAGGCTAGCTTTGGAGATTTCATGTATGGGTATGTATTCGAAGTTGATTGTGTTGTGCCTTATATTGCGATTTACTTCTAGACATTGCAGCGCCTGAGGTTGCCATGCAACAGGTTTCATAAGCCAGGGAAATGAGTTTTCATACTACATGATGATCTGCTCAAGTTTTATGCTTAACCAGTATGGACCTTTGATGATCTCTTTCAGAATTTGTTCTCTTTATGAATATTTATTCACCTTCTTTTATGATGATAATTGTTGCTACTTTTTCTTTCTGGGTTCTTTATGTTTCTGATAGCACACAAAATGCTGGGGAATGGACAATTTATCCTTGGATACACAGCAACTGCAATTCTCTTTCGGATAATGATCAACTTCGTCCTGTTTCATTCCCTGATATACATCCGGCTAGGTATTGTTGCTATTCTATTATATTATTATTGTTGTCATACCCCTCTGTACTTTGGGGGTGTGACAGCCCTCTATACTTCTATGTATTGTCATACCCTTTGACAGTGTTACTGAATGAGAAATGACCTGATTGCCTGTAAATCATTTTCTGTTTCTATTCTTTTGTGATCTCTACATACTCAACTAAGCCTTGTCCTTCTATGCTTCAGTTGTCAAGGTGACGCCGAGGTGACAAGGCGCCCTTGGAGGCTCGCCTCGCCTTATCACCAAGCAGTTTTCTATAGTGTGTTATAAAAACCCTTTAAATTCTTAATTTTTTGATGTTATAATTATAAAATAGACATTTTTAAACTAAAATATTCATTTTGTGTGTTTATATACTAATTTCTTTTTATTATTTTCTTACTTGCTAGGGTTTAATCAACACAAACATTGCTAAATGCTGTATTGAACCCTCAAAGACTTCAAAACCTGAACTGATAAGGAAGAACATAAAATGTTGTCCAATCAACACATTTTCTTCTTTTTCTTTACTAATTTTGTGTGTGTATACTAATTTCTTTTTCTTCTTCTTCTTCCACCTTTTCTTTTCTTCTTTTCCTATAATAGAAATTGGGGTTCTATATTTTTTTAATTTTCTTTTCTTTCTTCTTTTTTTCTCATGAATATGTTGGAATATGTTGATTTTCTATACTTTAACATGAAGTTTATACTTCTCTTAAGAAAATTATGGATATCTATTAAGAAAATGTGATTTTGGAACCTAGGGAACTACCCTAGGATACATGCTTTTACTTTAAAAGATCCATCGCCTAGGTGATGCCTAGGCACCCACCTAGGTGACAAGGCACCCCCTTGTCACCTAGCCTCGACTTGGCGCCTTGAAAATTATGGTATCAGGCCACCTATACAGACCTGTACATTGTGATATGCCTCACCATTCTACTAAAAAATGATAGTGTGATTCGAACCCATGTCGCTTAACACGCAGCACACCTAAGTCCTAAATACCCCCTTGTCACCTAGCTTCGCCGTTGGCGCCTTGAAAACTATGGTATCAGGCCACCTATACAGACTGATACATTGTGATATGCCTCACCATTCTACTAAAAAATGATGATAGTGTGATTCGAATCCATGTCACTTAACATGCAGCACACCTAAGTCCTAACCCTTAAACCACTAAGCGATCTTAGTTGTTTTGATTAAGTGAAATAAAATAACTTTTATAAACTTTTTGTATCTACATGCAATCCAAATAATTAATATATATTTATGTTTAACAACTCCAACTAAAAATAGAAAGTATATTATTCTAAATTAGTATTTTATAAACTAATGGAGTAAGTAACTATCAAATCCACATTAAAATAAAAAATGACTTTAATCTCAAGAAATTTATACAAATAAAATATTAATAAATAATAATGGAATAATTATTTTCATAGTTAAAACTTACAAATTTGCACATGAGTATGTATCTTAAAATAAATGTATATATGTATATATATTTGAAGTATTAATTAATATTTTTAATTACATTAAATAACAGCATATTTTTTATTTATGAAAATAGTAATATTGTTTAAAAAGATTTGAGAATATAATATTAAATTGAATCTATCAAATCTACTAATCTAGATTTATATAAAAATGCATTTTAATTTCAGAAAATTTAAAAAAAATCAAAATATTAATAATGGAATAATTACTTTAGTAATTAAAAGTTACGAATTTATATATGATATGTATCTTAAAAATTTTAACAAATTTGATATATTTTAAGGTGAGATTATAAATTTTTATAAATTATTAATTGATATTTTAATTTACATTTGAGAATTTAATATTTGGTAGACATTTTTTGTTAATATAAATAGTAAAAATATTAAAATAGAAAATAGTTGATATAATAATTAAAATATAGTGGCTACATATGTTTTGTCTCTTGGACTCTTGATTGATGCATTATCAATAAAATTGTATGACGTCTATGCATTAGGCGATATTATTGTATGATGTTTCCCAGTGTTTCCATATTTGTTGTCTTTATCCATGCATTTCCAAAGTGTATCCATATCTATATCCGTATCCGAGTTGTCCGGTATGATACCTGATGGTGCGCAATCCGGCTGGTCCTAGCTGTCAACGACCTTGCCTCTGAACGGAGCTACAGGGAGCCTGAAACAGAGATGAGGAAGCTCCGGGGGGAACCCGGTATGAATACTCCGAAGCTCAAGTTAGAATTCTTTCAGAGGCAAGATAAAACCAGATGGCGCAAAGTTCACATACCTTGTTCTTGGGGGGTAGGGAGCCTTTTATAACCACCTCGTGCACTCACTCCTAAGCTTCTGTCAGGTCGGGTATGATT